GGAAAATAGATGCCGCTCAGATGTCCCTTCAAAAATGAACTTGCCATTTAACTGCAAGGAGCATAGTTAGCTGATGTCCAGTGCTCTCCAGTGCTTTCAGGATCTTCCTCAACTTTAAGCTAAGGCCATTCTCTTCCTTGGCAGCCCCCAGCCAGAGGCTGAGCACAGTGGGGGTACCACGGCCTGGTTATTTCTGCCCAATGTGAGACTCTTCTAGTGAGTAATCTTTGCTCAGGAGCTCCCTGTTGGGTTGTCCTATCTGCATCGTGATGTAGACTGTCTCTGCCCAGTCTTGCTCTCTCCTTTTTATATTCCATGGGTAATACACCCCAATAAACTGCTTACACTCCTAATTCTGTCTTGAAATCTGCTGCCTAGAGGATCCAGCTAGCACAGAGAGGCTTTTACTCATTTCCAGGGGTCATTACACCTTCAAGATTCAACCCAAAGGCAACTCTTTCATGAAAATTCTTTCCTAGTCTATCCCATCCCCTAATTTTTCCTTTCTTTGTGATCCTATCATATTTTATGACAGTAAATGTCTGCCCTACTATACTGTAAAATTATAAGGAGTAGGGATTACATCTCAGTTTTTGAGAAACCATTAAGCATCTTGCAGAGCTGACCAAAGGAATTCTAGGGTTAGGGGGAGTGAGGCATGGCTGTAAGATAAGTGGAGAGAGTGGAGTTAACAATTACTCTGAGCTTTCACGACTATGTAACTGAAAGTTTGTTCCCTTGATAGAAATAAGGAAGGAGGAGATAACCCATTTGCAGTGGAAAATGAATTTACATAGATTTTCAGGTGATATATCTAGGTAGAAGTGTCCTATGAGCAGCTAGGTGACTGAGGCTTGAGAACTGTATCATGTGGACTTGATGGTTGGAGCCATGAATCATAGAGTTCTGGGAGGGAGAGACAATGTGAAGGGAGACTGCCTAGGGGTACACTCACAATAAGGTACTTAGCTAAAGAGGAGTCTGGAAGCCTCCATCTCAGGTCACATGGCCTCTCCAGGTCATGTTGTCTTACCAAAGCTCAGCAAATGAGTTTCAGAAAGGAAATTACTGTGTCAGCTGTTGTTGATGGGTAGCTGTCAGGATTGCTGCTCTGTTGAAGTAGGTTCACAGATAAATGGGAATGTGGTCACAAGGGTGCAAGTGGATAATGGGGACATAGTTGTGTGGAGTGTTCAACATGCATTTGAAAGACTGGCAGTGAAGAGGAGAGGAGAAACAGGAGGATTATAAGCAACATAGGGAAGGTATACATGTTTAAAGGAAGAAGATGCAAATATGAGAAGACTACAAATACCAGACAGAAGGGGCTAACTTACTTGAGTTTAAGTGGAGGCAGATGGAGGTGTTCTCACACAGCTACAAGTCTCCCCAGTCCCTTTAGAGGGTAGAGTATTAGGTCTTTTGATAACCAAGTGAGAGGCCATGAGTACCATTCTGGTGTGTTAACCTTATCCCAGCCCCAGTAAAAAGGTGATGCAGAATAAATGGTTAAATGAATGATGGGGAGGTTGCCCAAGATACATTAAGGCAAAAAAATAAGTCTGATTATGTGGAAAACAAAATAATAGTCTTGCACTTGCCTGTATGTACTTGCACAAATACATATATTTAAATACATAGAACAGTGGTTTCCACATTTTGCTGTGTATTTGAATCTGGGGGTCTTTGCAAAGTACTGATACCTACCCATGCCCCATTCTGATTTAATTGGTATCAGGTGCATTAGGGTTTTTTTTTTAAGCACTCTCCCAGGTGATTCTAATGTGTAGCAAAGTTTGGGAATGGCTGGCATTTAAACAAAGGTCTGTTGACAATATTTACCTATTTGCAGGAGAATTTTTAAGGGGTACTTTGATTTTTTTTTTAAATTTTGTCTTCTTGTGTTTTTTGAGTTTTTGTGATCATGTGTTACTTTAGCAATTTTTAATTAAACAATGCAGAAAGGAAAAGGAAAAAGCAAAGTAAGTGAAAAACAAGTGCACTCCTAATGAAAAATAAAGCCAAATAAAGCGTTAGAAGTTCAACTTTCTATATAGCCCATTTCTGTGATACTGCAACTTTTATGTTGAAAAGTCCACTTGAGGTTTTCTTTTTCCCATCAGATCTGTGTGCCAATGTCAGTGGAATTTGAGGAGCTCCTGAAGGCTCGAGAGAATCCAAGTGAAGAGGCCCAGAGTAAGTAGGGTTTAACGTTTCTATCCAGCACGAGAAGTACAGGTAAATGACAGAGCTCAGATTTGTCCTGAGAGTCCCGGAAAATGGCTGCAGAGAAACTTATAGCCGGGATCTCTTACTGGTTTCCTTGTTGCTGGTGTCTAGGCTAGATTGACATCCTAAATTGGCCTTGGAAAAATACTCATTTTGTGTGAGCTTAGCTCAGATTCAGTGACCTGAAAAGCTGAAGTCTGTTCTCCTTATGAGCCTAGGGAAGACACTTGGATGAAGTGCTGCTTCATGAAACAAAAGACGAGCAATCCACTTGAAAAGCCAGGTCTAAGAAGGTCGTCTTTAGGATCTGAATCATTGATTTCTCTGATTCCTTCAGATTTAGTGGAGTTCACGGATGAAGAGGGCTATGGTCGTTACCTCGATCTCCATGACTGTTACCTCAAATACATTAACCTGAAGGCCTCTGAGGTAAGACCCAGGAGAGGGCAGAGTGGCTGTGATTCTAGGGGTGAGTCAGGACACTGGGCTGGGCTCTTAGAGTATCTTCCTTGTGTTTTGTAACTTATGTAGGTATTAAAGAGCTGGTGTGCTTTCTTGGAATAAAGTAGTATTCAAAATGAAAGTTGAATGTCTATAGTGAATACAATACACATATTTTATTTATTAATTTTACTTTAATAATACAACAGACATATTTTGCTTTTGTAAAAAACTTTTTAACTCACAAATACGTATCAAGCTCCCATGTGAGGCACACATATTACTAAATACATGAAAGATATAAAAACATAATCTCTGCCAGCAAAGGGCTATTTAGTATCTTTTTTAAATGTATTAAAAAATAACTTACCATAAGAGATGATTTAATGTGAGAGTCTCAGAAAGGTCACAAGGAAGTATATGGTGAAGTTTCTCTTGGCGTTGTAAGGAAATGTCCCAAAAGTTGTGACTAAACTTTAAGCCGCATCTGTCTGTCATGTTTTCATCTGTATCCATGTACTTGATCCAAAGATGTTCAATATGTGATTGAATGAGTGAATAAATGACACCTTCCAGGACCTTATTTTAGGATGCAGTGGTTGTCAGAGTCTTTAACCAAGTGCCTGGCATGTAGTAAGTGTTCAACAAATGTTTCTTTTAATTTACTATTACCTTGATCTTTATTTTGCAGTTAATTATGTGTCTCATATTCTACTCACTCCAGTGGAGTTAACACCCAGTTAGTGAAGAAATTAATTGATCGGGGGAAAAGACTAAAATGATCCGGGCCTTGTTACTTTGTTAGGCAGTGATCAATTTTGATGTCATTTATTGGAGATTATATATTGTAACTTGGTACAAACACCTATTTGACCTCTTGTCATTTCTCTTTCCAGAAGCTGGATTATATCACGTACCTGTCCATCTTTGACCAGTTGTTTGACATTCCTAAAGAAAGGAAGAATGCAGAGTACAAGAGGTAGGCATAGATTTGACTAGAAGATTATTTGATGAGAATGTTTGAGGGCAGAGTTCTGAATTTTGTTGCCTGAAAGACATACATGAATGACATTCAGGATTATTGTAGGATAGGAATTTTGAATAGCGTGGGTGTTTTCCCCCCTTAACGGGGGCACTGGAATTGAACCCAGTACCTCGTGCACGCCCAGTACACACTCTGCCACTGTGCGGTACCCCCACCTCCTTGAATGACATGGTTTTAAAACTCTGGCTCTGGAAAGATGTGTGTCTGTGGGCACATCTAATCTTAGACCCATACTGTTCCTAATTTTGTCTCATTGTAGAAGGATGTCTCCCACCCAGGTGCCTCTGTGTCTTTGGAGTTTAATGGGGAAAAGTTAAACTTTCTCAGATTGTGACTGAAGTCAGGTACCTGGGTCTGATGTGTAGATTTTAAATTCTGTTTGTGTCATTATGTCCCTGGTTAGTAATCTGCGCTCTAGCTTCTTCTCTTTTTCTCATTTTCTTTTTACCTGAAATCTTTTCTATGTGAGTTAAGACTTTAGTATTTGGAATTGTATCATGAGGATAAAGGAAGATTGGAAAAGTTAGAATTGAGATGATATTAGGAGAAAGCCAGTTTTCAGCTCATTTTAAAAAGTAGTATTATTACTTTTAAAATCTAGTATCACTGGAATTATACTTGTATTTTATAGGGCGTAACAGTGTTCAAAAATAGAAACCCTCTTGTTGTCTCTGTATTGTTTGTTCACCTATAGGTACTTGGAGATGCTGCTTGAGTACCTTCAGGATTACACAGATAGAGTGAAGCCCCTCCAAGACCAGAATGAACTTTTTGGGAAGATTCAGAATGAGTTTGAGAAGAAGTGGGAAAACGGTACCTTTCCTGGATGGCCGGTGAGCTTCAGGGAGGGCGTGGGCAGCGGATATGCCAGGAAAGTGGACTAAATTATTTTACTTTAATCTTGAGCCTCTGCTTTAGGGCATGAGATGCTGATCCCCTGGGATCTGTTGTGGCCATGAGATGTTCTCTGCCAAGTATGCTGGGTTTTCTCTGTGTACTTTGGAACGAGATTTGTCAGCGCCTACTTGCCATTGGCTAGACCCAGGATTTTCACCAACCATGTCTTTACTGCGTGTGGTTCCCACTGACCAAAAACTGATATAATTTTGTGCTAGAAATCTTTACTGTAAATTTTCATTCCTGGGGATAAACTTGAGTTTTCCTGAACTCTCAGGGAGAGTTGGGCCATCTGGTTTTTTTTGCTCTGCTCTTGTAGGAATTCGGTTCTTATCCATACATGTGGATAAGAAAGGGGCCAACCAGCACCTAGTGCAGGCACACCTCATCTTATTATACTTTGCTTTCTTGCACTTCACAGATGGTGCATTTTTACAAATTTAAGGTTTGCAATTCTATTATCACCATTTTCTAACAGCATTTGCTCACTTCGTGTCTCTGTCACAATTTGGTCATTCTTGCAGTATTTCGAACTTTTTCATTGTTGTATTTGTTATGGTGATGTGTGATCAGTGATCTTTGTTACCACCAAGACTCACTGAAGGCTCAGATGATGGTTAACTGTTTTTAGCAATAAAATATTTTTGACCGAGATATGTACATTGTTTTTTAGACATAATATTGTTGCACACTTAGTAGACTACAGCATAGTGTAAATGTAACTTTTATGTGCACTGGGAAACTAAAAATTTCGTGTGACTTGCTTTATTTGTGATACTTACTTTACTGGGTGGTCTGGAACCAAACCTACAGTGTCTCCGAGATGTGCCTATAATTTAAGTGGCTCCCTTACCTTCATTCTAAACCTTGATCTTGACAAATATCATATTATTCTTGCCAGAAAGAGACAAGCAGTGCCCTGACCCATGCCGGAGCCCATCTTGACCTCTCTGCTTTCTCCTCCTGGGAGGTATGTTTTCTTTAGCTACTGTACTGGTCTTGTCTGTTCACTCCCCAGAGGCCCACTGGATCTCCTGGTTTGTTTTTGGGGGGGGCAGGATGGGGGTGGTAATTAGGTTTATTTATGCACATATTTATTTATTTATTAATGGAGGTACTGGAGATTAAACCCAGGACCTTGTACGTGCTAAGCAGGCACTCTACCACTGAACTGTAACCTTCCCCCTTGATCTCCTGTTTTTAATGTTGAGGACTTACTATGATAAGACACCAGTTCCTGGGGCCAGTTATCTACAAAGGATAGAAAGTATATCCAGTTACACTTCTAGCTATGTTAAGCTGTAGCGGAGGTAATGGAACACTACCATATGATTATGTATGAAGTTGACCACAGAGTCATCCTTTGAAGAGTTTGAGCTTACTGCTAGAAGGTTGTCTCTGGAATGTGCGGTCTTGCCACAGCTTCAGGAACACCCACACACCAGCCTGCAAAGACCAAAGATTGAGCATTTGTTGTTTCTCAAATCTATTTATATAAAATTGTAACTTGTCTCTTTTATTTAGGAGTTGGCCTCCCTTGGTCTGGACAGATTGAAATCTGCGCTTTTAGCTTTAGGCCTGAAGTGTGGTGGGTAAGAGACTTTTTTCTATTAGAACTATGTGGTTTACTGTGTGTTTCACGATTTTCTAAGTGGCTCTGATTCCATTCTTTGTCACTCCACACTGCAAAGATAAACAAGTTTATATGGTAAAGTAACCCTGAAATCCTTTGCCCCTCGTGTCTCCTTAGGACCCTGGAAGAGCGAGCCCAGAGGCTATTCAGCACCAAAGGAAAGTCCCTAGAGTCACTTGACACCTCCCTATTTGCCAAAAACCCCAAGTCAAAGGGCACCAAGCGGTAAGTGGAGGGGTGAGGGGGAACCTCTGCTTATAGTTTTAAATTTGTACTTCCATGCGTAATTCTTACCATGACAGAAATTTTAAAGCCTGTCTTATCACCATCATTGGTCCATCAAGATCCAGTTTGCCCTTTTTCTCTGCTAATGGCAGAGAGTCCTATCATTGTTGTAAACCAAGGACAACCTGTAGTCAGGAGATTGAAAGAGAGTGTCAACTCTGATGTTGAAACTGCTCTGGGTACCTTTTGTTACCTCGATAGGTCATTCAGGCTGAATAGATCAAAAATATTTTTCTATGTGCATTTTTGCTAATGACAGTTGAATCTGTTCTTGAGCCACATGCTTGTACAGAGTATTTTTTATATGTGGGTTTTCCTAATTCTTGAAACAACCCTGAAAGGTATTTGTTATCCTGACTTTTTGCAGATAAAGACTTAGAAAAGAGGTGTGGAATGCACCTGTTACCTCACAGTTACTAAGTAGCAAGGTCAGAATTTAGGCCCAAGTCGGCCTGTTCCAGAGCTTGCTTTCCTGTACCACATGTCCTTCATATACTATAATGATAGGAATTTAAATACCGGGATGTGTTTTTCACCTTCTAGAAAGAAGTCAGAAAGGCAGCTTCCAAGCATTCTAAGAAATAACCTCAGTACTTCAGCAAGTCCTGTGCTAAACAGAGCATTTGCTTCACAATGTGACAACTTCTCGTGTGCCTGTAATTTAATACGCTCATGGAATAGATGTTCCCAAATGTAGGGAACGTGGCACTAGGTAAAAGAACCCCTTAGTAATACAGTTTGTTTCTTATTTTCAGAGACACAGAGAGGAACAAAGACATTGCTTTCCTGGAAGCCCAGATCTACGAATATGTAGAGATTCTTGGGGTGAGTAACTGACTTTGCTGAGGGCTGTAAATGTTACAAGGTATGGAAGTAAGAGAAATATGAACTTGTAGGATTTTTTTTAGGATTGCAAGAGGAAGGGTAGGTGTCAAACTACTTCAGCAGAAAATTGGGTTCTCCCAGGGACTTGGCCCTTCATTGAGATCTGTCCTGCTCTGTTCTTAGGTGTCTGTTGTTAGGTGATATTCCCAAGGTTGCCCAGTTCCCATGAGACTAGGCAGAGAGAATAGACTCCCCGCTCAATATAGTATCCAGATTCTTGGCCTGAGCTCCAGAGTATACGCAGAGGTGACCCAAGAAACAGACACTCAAAAGGCAAATAAGAATGGCTAATCACAGCAGCTTTTCAGGTGTGGCTTACTACGAAAACGCATTACATATGTGTTCACAAAA